ACTAGTCTAAAGGCTAATATTTTTTTATTGTTATTTGAAGTCTCACAATTTATATATAGATATTTATAAGTTGATTGGGTAACTCTTATAACTGTTATAGGACCCCTAAACCACACAAAAACATTACGAAATATCGAAAAAAATATATTTTTTTGAATTTAGTTTTTTTTTACGTTTTAAAGATGAAGCTATCAATATATACAACGCACATTCATATTTCTTGCACATATTTACTTGAGCAACGTTTCTTCAAAATAAGGTTTGCGCAATTTTATGCTGTAGTAAATTCCACAATATTGACTTGTACAAGTCTCGGGTTGCGCAAGGATTTTGTGTGGTTTAGGGGCCCTATAAGTTTGTTTTTCATTATGCAAATAAGCAGACAAAAGCAAGATATATAATTTTTTTTATAACTATGGATTTAATTATAAAATTTTATTTATTATTTGTTTTTTAAATAATAGTTTAATAAACAACAGTTTTGTTTGCTTTTGATACTTTTTCTGCTTGGCAACTGATACATTTTTTTCCAGCTCGCGGCAACGCTGATCACGATGTGTGTTTATGGCGAGATGTTAACTTCATGTTATTCATAGTGGACGTGATGTTAACTCCTCTGCTCTGTTCCGGGTCGCCATGTTATTCATAGTGGTCGTAATGTTAACTTCTCTGCTCTGGTCCGGGTTGTAATATTACGTCCGCCGAAGAAAAATAAATTTGTATGTGGTGCGTCTTCTGTATACTGTTTATTCTGTGCCCCCGCTCTCTGGCTTTCTCGTAACTGCCAGGCCTTATTTTTACCGATTAAAACCCCGCTAACTGTCGAATAGTGCAATCTTTAATTTTTAGGGTGTACTTAAGGTCGGATCATGTATAAACTCGTGCAAAATGGTTTGTCTCGGTTCCAACTCGGTTGCCATTTTTAACTCAACTAGGAATCAAATTCAAATGAAATATCTTCTACGTCAAACTAAGGTCATGGTCAACTTATGGTATTTGAATTTCAAAATATTGAAATCTTTTCGGGTAAGTTATAAGCTTCCCAAAGTGTCGCAGTTTTGGTGTGTTCATCCTTTAATAGGTTTGTCCCACAAGCTACTTGTAGAAAAACTCGGGCAAAGTTCAAACTGTGAGCGTATATCAAAAAACTCGAAAACTTACTTGCGGAGCGCGTATATGTAACTCGAAGTGACTTCGAGAAGCTTGAGGAACAAACCGAATGAATTGATGCTTTTGAACATTTTAATTCATGAAAAAAGTGTGCAATCACTTGAGTTTGAAATTTTATCTGTGTGCTAAGTTTGAAGTATTATGTTATTTAAGTAGGCCTATCAGTTTTTCGAATTCACTGAATTTTCAAAATTTTGAAATTATGTACTTACACTCCTATGCTGTAATCCGTCGTAGATTCGATTTTGCTACGAATCTTAAAATTGGTATGCTGAAATCCGTGTTGTCGTATCGTAGTTTCGAAATTAGTAGGCCATCTTCGAAATTCGTAATGTTGGTATGCCTGGATGCGACGTAGCTGTCATTTTTATGTATTTGCCGGAAGTTTTGTACGAATAGCAGCTCGTGTCGGAGCGAAACAAATTGTATTAAAATATCAATAAAATAAAGTGTGTAAACGCAAATATATGTATGTAAGTTGAAGTGTGAATAAAAAAAAATTTATTATTAAATGCTTACACAATTATCAAGTCGAAGATCACAATAAATCGCTCGCAATGCGAAAAACTGGTGGAATGCATGAGCGAAAGGCCGGACATTGCCCGGCTTTGGATTTGTAAAAGTAGCTANCGGGTAAGTTATAAGCTTCCCAAAGTGTCGCAGTTTTGGTGTGTTCATCCTTTAATAGGTTTGTCCCACAAGCTACTTGTAGAAAAACTCGGGCAAAGTTCAAACTGTGAGCGTATATCAAAAAACTCGAAAACTTACTTGCGGAGCGCGTATATGTAACTCGAAGTGACTTCGAGAAGCTTGAGGAACAAACCGAATGAATTGATGCTTTTGAACATTTTAATTCATGAAAAAAGTGTGCAATCACTTGAGTTTGAAATTTTATCTGTGTGCTAAGTTTGAAGTATTATGTTATTTAAGTAGGCCTATCAGTTTTTCGAATTCACTGAATTTTCAAAATTTTGAAATTATGTACTTACACTCCTATGCTGTAATCCGTCGTAGATTCGATTTTGCTACGAATCTTAAAATTGGTATGCTGAAATCCGTGTTGTCGTATCGTAGTTTCGAAATTAGTAGGCCATCTTCGAAATTCGTAATGTTGGTATGCCTGGATGCGACGTAGCTGTCATTTTTATGTATTTGCCGGAAGTTTTGTACGAATAGCAGCTCGTGTCGGAGCGAAACAAATTGTATTAAAATATCAATAAAATAAAGTGTGTAAACGCAAATATATGTATGTAAGTTGAAGTGTGAATAAAAAAAAATTTATTATTAAATGCTTACACAATTATCAAGTCGAAGATCACAATAAATCGCTCGCAATGCGAAAAACTGGTGGAATGCATGAGCGAAAGGCCGGACATTGCCCGGCTTTGGATTTGTAAAAGTAGCTAAAGAGGATGTGATGTGGTGGCATTTTGGGAAAGCTTTGCAAGAATTAAAGCGGCACAATATCTAGTTGAATGGACGCCCTTAAAAAGAGGGAGCATACATTTATCATTTAAGCTAAATGGATCAGAACTGTCTCGTAGCGATCTCCTTTGTATATTAATGCAACAGTTGGCTGCAGCACGTTCTTTCTCCTGAGACAAAAGTGCACCGGCCACTGCATCCATTATATTTTACTTAATTAAGGGAAAGCCTTTTCAAATACGATTAATTATTTTTTTTAATTTCACTGCTCACTTGCGATTATATTTATTTTGATTTGTTTGTGTCAAAGCAGCTGATAAAGAACTTCGAATTTCACTATTTTAGTTGGGAGCGCCGTTGATAGTTACGATCGGATTACAGCATACCAATTTGCGAATTTTCGGAACGGAGCTACGAATTCGTAACTACGAACTTTCGGATTACAGCATACGGGCGTTAATGTTCAATTTTTACTTTTTTTGTTATATTTTCGAATTTGTATTATTTTACACAGTTGAAAGTCACAGTAAGTTTGAATATTTTCACAGGTTCAGAAAACAACGAAAATTCCAAAGTTTTGAGTTTTATAGTATTATTAAATTTCTTGAGATTTCTTATTTTTAGGATAATTTCCAAAATTTCAAAAACTATCGAAATCCGGGAGTTTCTAGGAATTTTGGTAAAATGAGAATATTTTGAAATGTACAAAATTATTGAGATTTTAGATATTTTCCAAAATTTTGAGAACTTTATTTATCCTAAAATCCATCATAAATGTAAAAATGTGAAACATCACAAATTGTCGAAAAATTATTATGTTCATGGTACTTGTGTGTAAAAAATAGAAAATTCTAAGAATTCTAAAAGATATTAACATTTTCGAAAAATTCCAAAATTGTTCCACTTTTCTGAACTTTTCCAAAATTTTGTATTGATATAACAAAGTTTGCGAATTTTAAATTTTTTGAAAATTTTGAAAACATCAACGTCCAAAAATTGTTTGAATCTTCAAGAATTACGATAATTTTTTAAATTTTCAAAAACGACGAAATATAAAAATGTTTTCGACATTCGAAAACTTTTATTTTCGTTTGATCAATTTTGTATATTCGACACTTTTACTTAGAAAAATTTTGTTAGAATTCCTACAATTCTCAAAATTTTTGAAAAATACAAAATTTCTAGAAATCTAGTATTCATCATTATATTGAATTATTGGGATTTACCAAAATTTCTCAAATTCACAAAGTTTTGAAGGTTAAGAAAATTTTGGAATTCCATGAATGGAATTATTAAAAAGGGGAAACTTCAAGAAACTAAAAATATAAAAACTCTAAAAATTTTAAATTGCGGTGATTTTTATATTTATATACACGATATCTGTTGAAAAATCATCAAGGGTAGAAGTCAAAAATTTTGCACTACATTAGCTACTAGTGTTATCCGAAAATTTAGTGCAGTACCCCCAACCAGTGTTGCCGGTAACTTCGTTAATAAAATCCCGTCCAAATATAACATAAATCCCGTTTTGTACTAAAGTTATAACAGAAATCCCGCGCTATATGTATCTATTATACATAAAATGCTTTTAGATGAAGAAACACGCGTATAGCATAGAAGGGTTCTACACGTAATTCTAAGCAAATTTGCTGAAGAAACAATAGGTCTTAAATTAATTTGGAGTTTGCCAAATTGCGAAAATAGTTTTCGAAGTAAATGTGAAATTTTTCACTTTGCGTCCTCTGGTGAAATTTATAAGTAAAAGATAAATCCAGAAAAGGATTCCTAATACCAAAAAATCGCGTATAGCATGTTTTTAAACGAAACCGAAGCACTTTCTAACGGCACTGCAGCAAAGTGCTAAGAAACATATTTTTGCAATTTGGCAAACTCCAAATTGATTTTTGATCCATGGTTTCTTCGGCAAATTCGCTTAGAATTACCACCCACACAAATTGACCCACCACATAATTACATATATATACAATATATATAGGATTTATATGGATCATTCACGTCAAAACGCATGCGGCTTTGCTCAAAAATGGTGGAGAGCTTTCGTTGCTTTTAAGATGTGAAAAGTTAGGTTTTTTTAGAATCGAAGGTTATGTGGCGCTTATAAAAAATAACGATTCGGTCACCGTCGCCAATTTTCAATGATTATTGCGTTTCAGATTAAGACTAAAAATTATCCTGGGTTATCAGGTGTCTAGCAATACAAGATTAATTGTTCATGCCTATTACGGTATCCGACGAATGCCATCCGCGGGGAATGCGAATCGAATTGAGAAGATCTGGTATTCTCATAACCGATCGGCAATGGAGTTCGCGAATAAAAATTTGTTGATAAAGCAGTTCGCGGATTCACTGTATTCCCATAATCGTAATCGAAACGCAATAAGTGTCTTTTGCTCTAAGTGTCATTCGCTGAATAATTGTTGCGGATTTAATAAAAAAAATTGAAAATATCACGCAATAAGATGGAGTTCAATAAAAGGTGACTTATTTTTAACATTTTTTAGTAAATTATATGTGCTTATTATGTTTTCTAACAGAAGTCGTACCACAAACCGAGAACAATTCGCTTTAATGGCTGAACGGATGAAGCTCAACGGGGGCATTGCCAAAAGTATGTCCAATGAGCCACCAGAGGTAGTATCCGTGTTCTGGACATCACTTAGCACGGACTTAAATGCGTTAGGACCTCCAACAAAGTCCCTTGCCGAGTGGAAAAAAGTAAGAAAGTTGATTATTTATAAACCAATTTTATTAAACTTGAACTATTTTCAGGTATGGTCAGATTTTAAATCCTCCATAAAGAAAAAATTGTCTAACAACCGAATACAAATGCGAGCAACAGGTGGAGGTCCAAATAGGGAGGTACAATTGACTGCTTTGGAAGAGGAAGTTGCGCAGCTGGTGAATATTTATGACGCCGTTGCGGGAGTCTCCGGCAGGCACTGTGGTACGCCACAAGGCCCATCTCGTGGTAGCCACACAGACAGCGCAGCTTCCGAGCCATCTACCAGTGGTGCAGTAAACAGGGAAGAAGCTGATAATATGGAAAATGCTGAAAATTCAAATGGAAACAGTTCTTCACCTACGTCTCCGCAACCCCAACAGAGAGTGCCACAAAGGAGAACCCAATTGACGCTCCTTAAAACTCAGTTGGATATGCAAAAAAAATATTACGACAACGTCGTATGTAATTTAAAAAGTCAAAAAAGAAAAATGGAAGATGTAGCAAATAATTTAAAAAAAATGCAAAAAACAATGAGCAGTCTCAACAACAACGTTGAGGGTATGCGCTCCATACTAGGGAACTTAGTTGCCGAGACAAAAAGACATAATTTGGTAACGGAACAATTATTGCGGCACAAGACCAAAGTTAAGGAGCAACTTTTAGAATTGGAGATACAGGGAGTGAAAAATGCGCTAAAGAAGTAGTAGATATAGTTTAAGTTTAGCTATGAAGGCAGCAATACATATCTAGTTTAGCTTTAGCCATGAAGGCAGCAATACATATTTAGTTTAGCTTTAGCCATGAAGGCAGCAATTTTATTTATAATAAAATAAAACTTATGACAAAAAACTTTGGAGCATTTGATTACGTAGTTGAACTGCTTCAGTATAATACCTCTCCGGTCGCTCGATTTCTTGGAAATCGGTGTCTGAATCTTCCTCATTAGTTACGTGATCAAGATACTCATCATGGATATTGTAGTGAATGCGTAAATTGTGTAGTGCCGCAGCTACATTGATTATTTTCACAGCCTTTTCAGGAGAATAATGAAGTTGGCGCGCAGACAGAAGACATCTACACCAGTTTTTCCAAACACCAATAGTTCTCTCTATAATGTTTCGCCCAGAACTATGCCATTTGTTAAAGCGACTTGAAGGAGTATTAGGTGCAGGGTTCCGAAAAGGAGTTATAAGCCAGGGTGCGAGACCGTACCCTGCGTCACCTAAGAATTAAATAAAAAATTATTATATGTAAAGAATATGAAGTTGAATAGTAAATTATATAATTTATAGTTATACCTAATAGTCGCAGATTTCGATTACCACCTTCATATTGTGCTTGGAAGTATTGTGATACGTCGCTGTTAGACCAAACAAATGAATCGTGAGCTGACCCTGGGTATTTCGCGTTAACGTACCTTATGCGCTGTTTATGATCACATATCTAAACCATGAAAAAAAAAATATATAAAACTATTGCAAAAAAAATGTACAAACTTACAACAAGCACATTGAGACTATAGAAGCCTTTTCTATTATAAAAAAGGTGAGAGTTTGAGCCTGTAGGTTTTGCTATCCTTATGTGCGTACCATCAATGCACATTACAATCCCGGGAATTTTCGATTTGTTGTAAAAGTAACTCCGAGACTCCATTTGCTCCTCGTCATTCATTTTTAAATTCAACCACTTATCACACAACTCGTTTTCCAGAATATCAATAACCTCTGAAAATATCTTAGAAACTGTTGGTTGAGCCATACCAAGCATGTAGTCTTTGCCAACAGCATTTTGGTAGCTTCCTTCTGCTAAGATTCGCAGACATAAAGATAGCTTTTGTTGCCGACTAATTGCTGTGGATTTTATCACGGGAGGAATTTTACCGCAAATTATGCTTGAAATATGTTTATATGCATTTTTATTTACTCGAAATTGTTTAATAAACCTGTTGGAGACAAAAGTGTATATTCGCATGTGTGATCAAACTTTTATACTTATTTTGCTTACTCTATGTCTGTCAGTTTAAAAATGTTAGGTGCTCTATCCCTCACGGACCTTCTTACACTTGCGGAACTACTTTCATCTTCATCATTGTTAAAATAAAAAGCAATCGAATCCATTTTAACACAAATTTAATTTTTTCCAAACACAAATTAATTAAAAATGACAATTCGAGAAATGTCAAAAAGCGTTTGACACAATCCGCTGCGTGAGTCGATAAAGCAGCCATCCGACGTTTATGGGAATACCGCAAACTTCAACATGCGAGGGGAATGCGAATCGAATGCCATTCGCGGGAGTGGCATTCGTCGGATACCGTAATAGTCATGGTTGTCTTTCACGAAGTTCTTTAAATAAATTTTGAGCTAAGTAGTCACCCGTATTTCGGGGGTTACTACTAGTTATAATAAATTGTTAGTTTAATTTCCTATAAAATTTACCTTTAGGTTTATACATTTTAAGAATACGTTAAAAAAAGCGAGACGTCTGCTTTTTAAATAATTTTTGTAAAACAAATCGGCAAGTACATATCGTTCCCCGCATGCCAGAAACATGAATGTGTAAAGATGAAAATTTTTTAGTTTTTTTATATGTTACTACTATTTTTTGATTATAAAGCAGATTTTTGACATTTCTCCAGATGTAAACATTAAGCATAGCTTTGCCACATTGAAATTTTTTGAGAAGGGAGATTTTTATGAAATATTTGGGATTTAATAGAAGAGTAAGATGTACATATAAAAAATTCCAAGTTGATGTGATCGATAAACAAATTTGAAAGTTCTTATTAAGCATTTAAAGATCCTTTGAAGAATATCAATCTATAGAGATGAGGAAATAAAAAACAATCCAGTTTTGCAACTTTATTTATTAAAAAGCTTTAGATGGCAATAAATAATTATTTTTTTCTTAGGCCATTTTATTTTAAACGAAATAAACAAATTTAAATGACATGAAACAAACATTATTTTAGGTTGTAATTTTCTTAACATTTTTGCAGAAAACCATTTTTCGTAGAAATGGTATAAAACTCTTAAAAATCAATATTTTTCAATCGGAAAACTGTGGTTCTCTTCAGGAGACTTCCAGTATTAATATCAAATTGTTTATTTAACCATTTTTTATGATTAAAGATTTTTCCATTGCATTTTCTAGGGGTTTTGGAGGACCTATAAAATATAGTTACTATGAAAAAATGGTTAAAGAGACAACTGCGTATTATTACTGGGAATCTCCTGAAGATAAGAAAAGTTTTCCGATCGAAAACTGTTGATTTTCAAGAATTCTACACTATTTCTACTAAAAGTTGTTTTTCCCCCATATAAAATACATGGAAAATTTTGAGCGCTTTGAGCACTCCCTATTTTTATTTTTATTTCAAAATAAAAAAATAGGGGTATATTTTTTATACCCGAGCGCACTTGTGCACAAGGGTATATTAATTTTGTTCACATAACGGTTGTTTGTAACAGCCAAAACGAATCGAGATAGATATAGACAAATGTATACATAAATGATCAGG